TTTCTTTAGAGAAACCCAGGTATGCATCCCTAGAAGTAAAAATATAGTCTTGCCATTCCTTCTTTTGAAACAGAGTCCCAAGCTGTCCCCCTGGGTAAAGTGCCATGGCGTCACAGCTCACAGCAACCTCTAACTCTTGGCTTAAGCGATTCTCTTGCCTCAGCCTCCCAAGTAACTGGGACTACAGGCGCCTGCCACAATGCCCAGCAATTTGGGGGGGGGGGGTTTGTAGTTATCATCATTGTTGTTTGGCGGGCTGGGCTGGATTCAAACCCACCAGCTCCAGTGTATGTGGCTGGCGCCCTAGCCACTTGAGCTACAGGCACCAAGCCTAGTCTTGCCTTTCTATAAATGTTTTAAATGTTGGTATATATTTTAAGTATTCCATTCCTTTTTTTATGTTACAATTAGTTTGACTCATAGAATCTCCCAGTCTGAGTTTTGCTGACTTCATACTCATGTTACAGTTCAATGCGTTCCTCTGGTCTTATTATTTCCCGAAAACAGGTAGCTGGATCCAAAAGCTTCAGTTACAGGCTTGATCTACCTGGCAACATCGTAGGTGCCTTTCTGCTGTTCAAAGGAGGCATATAACATCTAGATGGGTCTTTTTGTGTGTGATGGTAGCAACCACTGAGGCTCAATGTCTAGCCCATTACTTTACTGGGAGTTGAAATATAGTGATATTCTATCAATTCCTTTTCATTTATTAAGTGGGATATTTCTATAAAAAGATGTTTCTCTTTACCTACTTTGTAGTTACTCAGTATTATAATTCATATAAGAAGGTCAGTAATGCTTGATTCTTTCCTTTAATTTAGTAGTTTTCAAGATAAAGGATTAGCTCTTACTCTCCAAAAGTGGCCAGTTAGTTTTTGGGTATCATTATAACCTCATAGATTATATGATCAGCTTGAATCCATGGTAATTATTATCCTTATTGACGCTCCAATTGTCCCATCTTTGGCCAATAGGAGCTCTTAAAGTAGTCTCCTGAGCCTTTTGACATGACCCAAGTAGTCTTTGATAGCTTCTCTGCTATGCATAATAGAAGATAGTTGTGGCTCATCTGGCATACTTCTTGCCCTATACCTAGGATCAGTTGTTTTTCTAAGAAGCCCTCATTCCTTACATAAGTATCCTGGTTCTCAAGAACACAGAGAATGACAGAAGTCAACTACCATAATTACCCATTTGCTTTGTCCTGTATTATGCACACACACACCAGAATAATATTAATAGTAAATTAATAGGCTTGGTGCCTGTGGCTCAAGTGGCTAAGGCGCCAGCCACATACACCTAAGGTGGTGGGTTCAAATGCCCAGCCTGGGCCCGCCAAACAACAATGGCTGCAACCAAAAAAAAAATGGCCGGGCATTGTGGCGGGCGCCTGTAGTCCCAGCTACTTGGGAGGCTGAGGCAGGAGACTCGCTTGAGCCCAGGAGTTGGAGGTTGCTGTGAGCTGTGATGCCATGGCACTCTACCCAGGGGGATAGCTTGAGGCTCTGTCTCAAAAAATAATAATAATAATAATAGTAAATTAATAGTATCTCCCCTAACTTGGTTACTAAAAATGATTTAAAAACTTTTTGCATCTTTTGTATTAACCTGGATGGAGCTGAAACACATTCTTCTTAGTATAGTATCACAAAAATGGAAAAGCAAGTATCCAATGTACTCAATACTAATATGAAGCCAGGAGACGAACTGACACACGCCCACACAAGAGAAAACTCAATTCAATTCAAGTTGGGGGAAGGAGAGAAGGGGAGGGAAAAATTGGCACACTCCCACCTAAAGGGAATAGTGTGGGGGGAGTATGATACACCTCCCAAGTGTGGGACATGGATACAACAGGGACTTTACCTAACAAATGCAAACATTGTAACCCTCATGTTAAACTGAAATAAATAAACAAACAAATGAAACCAAAAACAAATAAATGAACAAATGAAATAAACAAACAAATGAAACCAAAAATAAATAAAAAATTTTTGCACCAGCTTTCCCAATTGTCCCCCACTTTTTAGTCATAATTTATCTTCATTGTCAGAGGACATGTATATACCATATTCTCCCCCTATTAAATCACAATTAGTAGTCACTCAACAAATAGCTATATGCATATTTAGTGCTCATCACCAGTCTTAAGGGTGATGCTTCTCTACTCATTTTGGTTGGCTGAAACTTTAGTAGATTCCTAAGGAAGGAATACTGGAACAATATTTCACTAATTTGTGAATGTTGATGAAAGTTTGTGCCCTTATATTTAAAGTTAGCTTTGCTGATCTAAAATTCTTGGTTTACACTTTCTTTACTGAAGTATCTTAAATGTTATACTCTGTTTTCTTTTGAGATAAAGCATTACCATATCAAAATGATGACAATTCGTTTTCTTCTCTTTATAAGCCATGTATCCTTGATACTTAGTTTCTTCCACCCCCATCTTCCTTTTATGAAGACCAATAATTTTACAGAATAAATATATTTTGGTGTTTGTTGTTGTAAGTCCAACATATTCTTGTGTATGGAAGGCATGATCTTTCAACACATAGTTTTAAATCTTTTATTTCAGGTAATTTTTCATAGGTATAGATTTTAGTGTTTATTCTACTCCTTTGCTTTGTTTTGTTTCAAATTCAAGGGCCCCTATTATCTTTACACAGGCTCTCTTCCCCATCTTCAATGGTCATCATTTTCTTTTTTTTTTTTTTTTT